CTTAGGCAGTTGGCAAAGCTAGGAATCTACGAACCGACCGGATTTCCCTTTCTCCTTTTTTCGCATGCTCCACTCCGCCAGTTGCCAACGGCTGCCAACTCTCTGAGTGAAAAGTAAGGGGTCGCATAAGCGAGCCAAGAGCCAAGAGCCAGTCTCAAGTCCACAAGTTGCACTTGGGTCATAAGCCAAGCGCTTCGAGTGGAGCAAAGGCAAACAACTGCTGCGGAGCAGAAAGCAAGGAGCAGCAAGAGGAAGAGCAAACATTCCCTCACCTTTGACCTTTCCCGCGCGAGCGTTCTTCCGTCCTGTTCATTGTTTTCGCTTTCGTGTTGCTGTTGCTTTCGTTTCGCTTTCGTTTCATCTCGCCCGCCCGCCCGGCCGCTTGTCATTCGCTTTTTGACTAGTGGAGCATACGGAAAAGTGGGGAAACTCCTCCCATCACCTGCCTGAGCGACTTTCCAGCAGCGCTGCTCGCCTCTGGGACAGAAAATTGGGGGTCGGGGTTCCTTCATTTCGTACTTGTGCCCGCTTCACTCCTTGTTTTTCATTGAATTATTATGTAATTGCCTACAAAGAGCGGCGGGAAGACCCCGGGGAGTCCTCCGACTCGGAGGAAATGTTAAATCGCCCTGTAAAAAATGAGGCGAATGCCAAATAATTTATCGGTCTGTGTGTGAGGGCTGAAGTGCCTATAAATATTTTGACAGCAGAACCTGGAAAAATGAGCAAAGCCAAGGGCAGATACCACCACCACCACCACCATCACCATCAGCACTCACCTGTCCAGGCTCCCAGTCAACCAGACGCTCTCCGAAAAGTCGCCACAGGCGGCACCCGCTAAGAGCACTGGCCTGCCTGCTATGGGCCATGGGCTGCTATAAATCGGCACAGTGGGAATGCTGGCAGCTGTCAGCTGTCCGCTGTGAGATAGTGCAAACAGCCAGCCAGCCAGAAAAAAGCTCAGTAAATATGCTCTTGAAAAAACTTCTGGGAAAAGGTTCAATAATTAGTGTGTATCCAGGTGCGTATTTAAATGCAGATACGGATCTCTTGACGAGACCTTTTCTCCTCCGCATGGCTCGGTGCTCACTGTACCTCCTGGGCCAACGTTAAATTTGCCACAGTAGCCTGGCCCGGCTGGAGTGACCCCTTTACATTCTGGGCTGCCTTAGGGCATTTTAAAGGAGGAGTTAATACGAATACGGGTCGCCCGAAAATGTTTGCACGGCAGAAGGGCTTAGTGTTTCTGGGGAGTGTGTGTCATAGATATCGGGCTCCCTTGGGACTCCTGTGCTGGAAGATTAACAATGGAGGCTCCAGACTGCTCTTTAAAGTACCGCCAATCGATTTAGCATTTTCCCCGGCAGGTTGCGCCTCCCGTTTTCCGGGGCTTTCTCTACTCGCCCGCGCTCCCAATTGTTAACCTCCTTGCCAAAAACGTTGCATGCCGCGTTGCTGATGGAACCCCAAAAGGACTCAATGGGGAGGAACGTTGGCGGGGAGTAAGCGAGTGGCTGGATGACTGGCTGAATGACTGATTGACTGATTGATAAGAGGCAGGCAGGCCTGGTGTTGCGTGCGAAGAAGTTGTTCGCGAGTGTTTTTATTGTTTCCTCAAATGATTACATTATGAAAATTGGTGGCAACTATCATTAGTGGAAAGTGGGTTGGCGGTTGATTGGCAGCTTGTCAATAAAACATTTACCCCAGAATAACAGGTTTTACATTTTTCTCAAGAACTCTCAAGTATTGCGAAACCTCCGAACTAAACCCCTTGTCCATTTGGTTTCCCCTTTGCTTTCTCGTAAGCCATGCAACCCTAAAGCAACCCTTGAGCCACTGATCGATCCACCACCACCACCCGTTGCCATCACTGTGGTCTGTGGTTCGGTGGCGCATCGCTCAATTTCGCTGTCTTCGGCTTTCCAATTTACCGATTTAAAGCAGGCACGCACAAATAAATTATTTGATAATTTCTGAACAGCTCAATAATTTAAAAATGTTTCCTTACATTAAAAATGTATACTATAATGCACAATATGAACGCCCTGTAAGTAGCTTAAAAATATATATGATCGAAGTATATTTAAATAGGGAAGGAAGGGGAAACGGTTCGAAAACGGATCTGACATATTCTAAAGTATGTAGATTGTCAAATAGTGAGTGAGTTTACTCCTTTTAATCGGATTCTTTGTAATAAAGTACCCTTGGTAATATGTCATGGGAAAAGTTTTGTGAGACTGCCTTTTGCCGGGCACTATACTAATTTTTTTTTTTTTTTTTTTTGGTAACTGCATTCTGGCCACCCCGTTGGGTTGCTGCTGCCCGCAATTTCGATTCTGGATTTGGACTGGGCCTTCGACTTGTGCCTTTGACTCCGCCCTCCGGCTGAAATAGGCTTAAGCAATGTAGCCGGAATTGGTTGTAGGGAAAATTGAAACCCTCTAAGCTCCGACATTTCAGTGCTCCTGCTCGCATTCTATTATTAATGGAAGTTTGATTGAGTTGCCGGCACAAAGTAGCCTCTTCGAAGTTTTTCACTGCCACTTCCGTTATCCGTTTTTCATCCGTCTGTTTTTCTGCTCATTTGCGTTGGCCGGTTTCCAGTTGCTGGCTCTAAAAAATGCTTATGCCAACAAATTATTAGTTTCAATTCGCAGTCCGTATTTAATACCTGCGCCTCCCCCCAAAATTTCGATTTCCCGCCGGGATAAAGATGTAAACTCAATGCCCACCACTCATCGAAGCGGGAACCGAACTGAAATTCCTCACAAATACCCTTTCTCCAATGTCCCCCCCGCTAACTTTTTTATTTATGTAAGGTTGGGCCATGACAGTAAGTGGATGCGACTTGATTCCAATTGGATCCAATTGGATCGTAATAACCGCTTATTTCAATTACGCCGATGGCAAATTCTTGCAATTAGAGTGCATTATCGACGAAGTTAATTGAGTTCGTGGATGAAGGATTTTCACCCATTTCCCGCTGGCCTAAAAGTGGGCAGCGCATCAAGAAAGGTCAGCGGTTGTGTTTCGAGCGGTTTTAAGCACTTTTAATACACTTTTCTCCGCTGACGTCGCCGCCATCAAAGTTAATTTAAATTGGATTAATTTTAATGCATGTCGGCTCCGATGGCCTTGGTCGCGAATGGCTTTTGGCCACCCGTGTGTGCTGAAATCCATTTTGTGGATATCAGCGGTGCAGCCTCTAAGCCACGCCCCCACCCCACCACGCTTTTCCACCCTGCCCTCTAATGGAGGCGAAAGGTGGGGGAATTTTCTTTCCTCCATGCAGTAGCTCTTTAATAAGCCTGCCGGCTTATTTACTTTGTACTCGGTGAAAGGAGAGGCACAGAATAAATGGATTTGCTTTAATGTTCCGCATTACCTTGAGTCCGATTTTTGGAGGGGAGCAGGGAACGTTTATGCAAATCGAAGTTACTGCCAAAAGCCTCTGCTCCTACTCTACATCGTGTGAGATGGGACCAAAAGCCACATCCTTTAACTAACTTTATTGGGCGGCCACTGAAGGCGGAGTTGATACAATGATAGAATACCTCTAATGACGCTGACACGTGCATGGGGAAAATGGGAAAGCGGGGGAAATTGATCCGATGCGAGGCGATTGCATATTGCCTAGTTGTTCAATTGCACGGTTATTTATTACGCCTTGTAAAGTGCATATTTGATTTTATTTGCCCCTTCCCCCGCTTTTCCCCTCCCACTTGCCCGCTTTTCCTCTGCGAACAATTGCGGGGGAACCACAGCAACAGCAACAGCGACAAGGCCAATTTGCATTTACAGCAAACAAGGCGAAAGCAATAAGCTTTATGTGTTGATTGCCCCGCCCCCTCTCCCCACTCCCCCTTTTTTTTGGTGCTTGTGTGTGTGCGTGTATGTGCGTGTGTGCGTGTGTGCGTATCTGGTTCACAAGATGCGGCTTGTTGTCTCTTTGCTTGTTATGCGACGGCCATTGCAGCGAGCGAGTGATGACCTTCAAATGTCCGGCAATTGGGGAGTTCGTGTGACTTGCTGAAAAAGCGAAATCCGTTACGTAAATGGGCAACTTAAAGGGGTTAAGGCTGCAGTTCGACAGCAAAAGCCATCATTTATATCAACATGAACGCACTGAAAACGATGTACGATTTCCCTATTAGATACTTGACTGTGTTTGTTTCTAAATAATCAAACAGGTTCAATCACTTTTGACCCTATGCTGACTGCATTTACCTTATAAAATCAACGTGATTTGAGGGCTATACTCGATGTGATTTAAATCCGTTTACGTAAAGTAGCAGCTTTAATATTTTTAAACGACTTTTGGGGAAAACAGCGAGCGCGTGCATGGAATTCAATGGGTTGAGCATCAAAGACAGGGGCGGCGAAAAGAAGGGGGCGGCGCGAAAGCCACGGCCCCTGTTCACAGGTAAATTATGCAGCTTGTTAAGGCACACCGGCAAAAAAGCAACGCTCCAAAAAATGAAAAATGAAAAGCGAAAATTGTGCGGCGCAAAAAGAAAGATGGGAGCAGCAATATTTCGCCAAGGGCACAAAAGGGGTGGAAAATGTGGGGTGCTACATGTTGGGTTCGAGTTCGAAGCAAACTTTTGCCATTTGCCATTCGCAGTTTGCCATTTGCGATTTGAGAAACTCTCCAGAAACTTTGTTAATGAGGTTTGCCAAAATGATTTGATGCTGGAATGTGTGAAAATCCGGGAAGTTGATGCGAATTGTAGTGTTTATGCACTGCGCAATGTGGGAAGTAGTGCCCTATTGGTGTGGAATACTGGGTATACAGTGTCTCCCTCAGAGAATTGATGCTTTCGAAAATGAAATTAGGCCAGGACTACACACTCCACGCTCTGCCCTTTTCCTTTCCCTTTCCCTTGCCCTTTGACTCTGCTGAAAGCGGTGACCCCAAAAAGTATGCAATGCAATGAGGCAAGACGATAACTTGTCGCTCGCGCGGGCCAATTACAAGCATAAATTCCGTTCCCCAGGAACCGGCGAGGAGGCAGGGAAACCGGAGACCATGTCCCACGAGAGCACCGCTGGTGCAGCAGGCGTAGCTGGAGGAGCTGGAGGAGCCGGTGGAGCAGCGCCACCGCCGCAGTACATCGTGACCACGCCGAGCGAAGTGGATCCGGACGAGGTGCGCTCGATGGGCGACTTGGACGGACTGGGTTCCCGGAGCGGCACGTGGTGCAGAGCCAGCAGTTCTCCAGCTCCAGCAGCTCCAGCACCACCAAGGTGTCCACCCGCTCCTTCTCGGTGAGCAGCAGCACCACTGGCCTGCAGCAACAGACGCAGCAAACGCAACAGATGCAGCAGATGCAACAGAACCAACTGAGTCAGCAGAACCAGCAGATCCAGCAGTCGCAGAAGATCCAGATTTCCAGCTCGACCAGGAGCCAGAGCCTGCAGTCGAGCACGGTGGTGGGAGAGGCCACCTCGGTGACGAGCGGCCCCACCCAGGTGCTGACCGCGGCGGCGGCGGCCTCGCTGGCGCAGCAGCTGAAGGCGCAGAGCTCCACCTCGATCATCACCAGCAGCGAGCAGCGGACGAGCACGAGCACCAGCAGCAGCAGCAGCACGCGGTTCGTGGCGAGCGGACCGGGCAACTCCAACTCCAACTCCAATGCCAGCTCCTCCGTCAACTCGGCGGCGAGCAGCAAGAGCCGCTTCCAGAGCTTCCTGCAGCAGCCCGAGGGGGGCGGGCACGGCTTCCTCACCGCCCACCAGAAGCACGTGCGCCAGTTCGTGCGCTCCACGTCGGCGCACTCGGAGGCGGCGGCCGGCGTGGCGGGAGCGAGGCCGGAGAAGTGCATCCGGAGCGCCTCCACCCAGATCGACGACGCCGGCGCGGCCGTGGCCGTCGAGATGGCGGCCAGCAGCCTGGTCGAGGGCTCCGCCACCGGCGGCGGCTCGATGCAGCTCTCGATGAGCAAGCTGGGCCTGCAGCAGTCCTCCTCCATCCTGATCTCCAAGTCGGCGGAGACCATCGAGATGAAGAGCAGCTCCTCCTCGGCGGGCATGCGCACCCAGCTGACCCTCAGCGGGGGCTTCCTGGCGCCCCCCGGCAGCCGCAAGATCACTATCCTGAGCCCCATCCACGCGCCCCCCGGCCTCCACGACATGCTCAAGCGGGCCCAAGGACGCTCGCCGCTCTCGCCCCGGATCAGCTTTCCCGGCAGCGACTCGGACCTCTTCGGGTGAGTGGCTAGCCTAAGTCGACGGGGGATTTGCCCCTATGTACCCTTGTATGTGTGTAGGGATGCGAGGGTTTCCTACGGTTCAAGGGATTCTTTTGGGAACGCTTGGAGATGCTTCTGGGAAGCCCACTTGCTAAGTGCTGTGCAACTTGTTTACATCCTTGGATGGCATTCTGCACTCAGGGCTAGTTGCCTTCAGCCTTCTGCCTTCTGCTCGTCTGTTTGTCTGTTTGTCTCCGAGAGTCCGCGAATGTCAGAAGAAAAACATCCACCCGGGAACGCCGTCAGAATGCCAAATTTGTTTGTCATAGTCGTATAATTAAATTTAAATGTTTTAATTTTCGGTACCCCGAACTCGCCCCGTCTCTTTCTCGCCTCATCATCCGCTTCATTCGTTCTGGCAGCGACAGCCAATGTGTGTATGGGTATGGTATACATACATATATTAATAACAGCAGGCACCGAACAAAAAATTATGTGAAAATAAAGAGAATAATTTGAATGAACCCCGAAAGGAACGGGGGACGTGGCGGGGGATAATTGAAGCTGCCAGCTGGGCCGTGAAAATTAAAGGCGGAAAGAAATTGGGAGAGAGTAAGTTAAACAATTATTGGAATTACGTCCAATACATGTATTTAAATTTAATTGCTGGCGAAGGAAGTGAAATGCAAAACAGGGCCAAGGAAGCGTTCATATTCGGAAAGTAAATCCATATGAAATATTATACGCTCAAATGGTTAAATTCAAAACAACCGAAGCCTTCAAATAATTTCGGGGGCACTGGGGAACCGACCCGTTGACAGTTGCTGCTCGACATTAGTTATTTTATTTTTAAATTCAGAGCGGGCGAGTGGCTTACCTGCTAGTGGAACAATAGGGTGAGGTGCCGCCAAGTCACCATCTCCATCTATATGTCTCTACTATCACCCTATACGAATTATTCCTAAAAAAATTTGCCTTCAATTGCAAAGCCGGTAAAACTCTAATCGCTTTTAATAGTTGGTATTCTTCATTCCATTAAAGGGCGATTGAATTGATGTCTTTTTGGTCCCGTTTTGAATTGTTTTTAATTCTGATCTCTGAATCGGTACCCAATGTTCTAAATAAAACTCTTCTTCGTTATACCTAACCGAGCAGTTAACCCATTTAAAATGGCTTAAATGTCTAGACCGAAATAATTATTTTCTGTGTTCGCCTTTTCTTCCTAAAGTTTAACTTTTTGTAAAGTATAAAGTATACATTTTTGAACCGATTTCGAACAGCACATGTACATAGGTGAAATTACTATATGTGATTCGAATTGAAGCTGCAACCAGGGGTTGGTTTTCCGTAAACAATTCACAAAAATACATTCCAGCTCCATGCACTTTTCTTTTGCTTAGCCTCTTTCCGCTTTTGATGGCGCTGCGAATGTTACGCATACGACACGTGGAACTCTGAGAAGCTCGTTTTATTAGGGTTAAACAGAAGCCAACGCCATCTCGGATGGCCATTTGAAGTACACACCCAAGATAAGGGCAATCCGAGATGGGAAAATAAAAATGCCGAGAAAAGCAGAACGCGGAACTAAGCAGCAGCGCAATAGGTGAGCCCTGGATGAAAGGAATGATAATAAACACAAAACCATTAAAACGGAAAAGACGAACACAAAAGAGTTGAGGAATTTGATATAATTCGCTGCAAGGGAAACGAAAAGTAAAACACAGAAGAACGAAAGTGAGGAAGCCTGCTTCAGAAAGTAATCCCAGATATCAGAAGGTTTCTCCAAACTCTTATTTAAAATGTATAACCAAGCAGGACTTATTTCTTTAGGCCTCTAACAGACCTTATAAATAAAATGTTCTGGAAAAAGCTTTTTAGCAGGACAGCAAACCCAAAGCTTTGCAAGCGAGTCACAATTTCCGCTAAGCTTTTAACCTTATTGAACTTGTATGGGAAATTTGTGCTTTTCACCGAGCTTTAAAAGCTTACAAGTGAAAAACATACTTAACTTAATTTTGGTTGCTAAGGTCAGGATTTAAATCTTATATTGAAATTTTATCGTTGCATAAGCATTTTTAAACTTCTGCTTCTTGGAGTTTTCAAATATTTACAATATAAATATTGAGATAAAAACAATGATTTCAAGAAAAGCCTATGCATTGTTTACATTTTATAAATTTAAGGCCACCTATTAAATTAACCATCTGAAAAGTGATCGCTTTTCTTATGTAACTCCGGAGGGCGTGACGTTGCATCCGCCCACCAAGCGCCGTTCCAAGTGCATCGTGCAACTGCAGGAGGCAACTCAAATGTGAAATGAGATATGAAAGGCGCGTGCAATTTGTTTGTCGGCCAGGCACGCCCACCGCCCACCGCCCAAAAGCCGTTCTGCGGCAGAACCGTGGGCGTGGCAATTGTTTTTGTATTCACACGCTCAGCAGGCGGTTTGAAAATCTCATACGAAACCGGAGCTCAAATGGCAAGGGATTAAAAAACATAGAGCAAAGCAAAATTGCAGAAAAAAATTAAAAAAAAAGTTATAAATGAAATATTTATTTATTTGTGATTGAAATTTAAATTAAATCAGTGTTTCAAAAAATGGCTGTAAGATATTTGAAATGCCCGCCACTGACACTGTTTAATATACGCTTTTATTTTGGCTAATAAAAATGTATATTAAAATAAAAATAAGAATGTCTAATATCAGGTTGTCAAAAAAGTCTTGCGGTATTTTTATTGAATAGCAAAAAATACATTAAAATATACGTTTTTCCGACAATTATTCGACTTACCCGTAAAATCTATTTAGCAAAGATATACAAATGTATGTACAGATATGCGTATATATTCCCAGATCCCTAGAACAATGTCCACGCCCCCACCCCGCCTATCTCCAAAGGCGACCCCCTGAGGCTCTTGCCTGTTTATTAATTTCTCTTATTTGCTCTGCCCCATTTTTTTATATTTATCTTGTCTTGAATTAGTTTTTAATTATTTTTTTAATTCCCGGCTCCACCTGCTTCCTAAGTACAACTCGATAACGATAGAAAATTATCAATAAAACAAGTGACGGGCGGCGTCTTCGACGGATTACTCTCGCAGGATAATTGCAATCCGAGCCGTGGCCAATCCTTCTAGAGGGGACTTTCGCCCGCCTCCTTTGTGTACTTTTATTGGGCCGAAAGAAATTTTAAACATTCAGGTTGTCCCCACTTACGCTGAACCACAGAGAAGACACTAGAGATATTGCTGTCAAAAGTCTCTCTAGCTGTAATTTATTTCTCTTTTCCAAGATATATCAACACAGACTAAATTTATATTTGCTTACCAACCGTTATATTTAAAACAAAACAAGTTAAAATTGTTTTAAAAAACCCAAGCCTAGTTGTCCAGTGCTTAGTGAAGACTTCAACCACCTGAGTTCGCCGTTGTCGCTGCATTTGCTCTTCTGTCGACGTCGCTTCCAACGTCACTGCCGCCCCGCCCATCACTTGACCTCATATTGTTTGTTTTTGTTATCAGGGCTAGCCAATATCCGAAATCCCAATTTTAAGTGAATATGCAAAACAGAAAACATGCGTAAATGAGTTTTAGTTTTCAAGTGCAATGCGCAACAACAAAAAAAGAATCAAAATGCCGCGACGTCGGCGACGCGGTTGTGATAAGAATTCACGCCGAAAGAGGGTTGATTTAAATCAAAAGAGCGCGCAGCCTTCTGCGCAAAATAAAAATTCGAAATTTCCGCTCTCTCGACCAACGGTAATCGTTAATAGTTATTAGTGTACAAAATAGAACATTTAAATCTAGCCATAAACTCATTCTTGGCTGATAAAATTTTTAATGCTTGCCAACTTTTTTCTGGGCATATTTGTTTCTCTTATATATCGCGCACTGCATGTAGTACTATAGTCGTTTTACGATCGCACCGAATTTAAATTAGTCTAGAAATTCTGTAGCAGTTTATAGTTTACAAAAATTGGGTTTTTTTAAATTTTGCTCTAGTATTCTAAAAAAAAAGTAAAGTTATAAATTCTACAAATTTTGTTTTGCCCTGCGGACTTATTATGACACAGCTTCTTTTATCCTATATTATTCTATTAAAAGGCACTATTTTGAGTGTATGTTTAATTTAGGCACTGAGCAAAATAAACGTAATAATTTTCTGCGCGCACGCGTCCACCA